ATCCAAAAGTACTGGTGTTACATCCATTTGCTTTGCGACATACATTATGCCAACAAGTGGCCATACGTTGAATAGCGAAAAAGTAGCATATGGCACCAAGTACCTGAAGAATATCAAGTTAATTAATTAGAATTATGGAAATTAAATAACATTTATCTTTAAACATAGATGTAAGGGTTTCTACCCAAAGTGGTACATATAATATTTACACCTAAGACTAGAGTTTGAATCCTCTCCTGTAACAAAAAGAAATGGAAAACATACCTACCTTGAAAGAACTTAATGTTATGATACATTCTTGTTTTTGCAAATATAAGTGAAGAATATGTGCCTACTTTATTAAAATATCGACCCCATGTAACCATGTTCATCAGACTTAGCAAGAATTCCAACCAAACAATGCTCTACATTATTCTCCTTTTATTTGTCTAACTAATGCAAGCAAGCAAGTGTTATGAAATTAAAATAAATTATGATAAAATTTTGAAACTTACATAACTAGAAAGGATGTACATAAAGAAATTCAAGACACCTTTAACCCATTTGGCAGTCTCTCCAATGTCTTTTTTAGGAGTCCTTTTAAGTTCCTTACATGATAAGTAGATGCGAAGAGCTCGTGGCACATATTGCAATAAAACAAAAAGGTTCATGGTAACCATCCTTATGGTCGTCAAAGATCTCAAGTCGCTCATTTCTGAAAAGAAAATGAGAATTGCTACCTGGACAGCATACATTAATAATACAATCAGTTAAAATTAAATTATCATGAGTAAAATGGTGAATCATCAATTAAGATATGCAGATGTTTTTGGATGAAAACAGAAAAGGGAGATTGGTACGTAAAGCAAACGATTAGTTTTTGTTACCTGTGGAAGCGGAAGAATGGCCAAAATGTCAATTAAGACATTGTATGACCCTAAGATTATCTTAGCTATTGTTGGCACACCATCTCTCCTCCGAATACTTATGGTCGGCCAGTACATTCGCGTTTCATGATATACATTCATGGGACGCGAATACTTGTCAGATGTATAAATTTGAAAAATAATGTCCAATATATAGAAAAGATCGGTGAGTGATCTTAAAAGAAGAGCGGCGATCTTCAAGTTTCTGTCAGACAGCAGGCACTTGATATCATTCTTCATCATAGGAACGTAGAGAAACAATGGATCCAATAAAACAGCAAGCAGACATGATGCTACAAATATCTTCCTCCACATTTGACGGAAAGACTCCCGAATTCTACTCGATGCATCTTCATCTTTCATGATTGGATTTTCCATTGTCGCCTCTGTGTTTGAATAACGATTACTGGAGGAAAATAAATAAATAAAACAACAAATTAGTGTAAAATTGGGAAACTCTTGTAGACTGAGCTCATTTGACATGAAAACAGCAGTTAATTAATTGTATAAAGAAGACCGAAAAATTAAGTTCCCCCAAAAGCAACATATAAATCTAAGATATCCCACAATTTAGTGAAGCAGCCACCACAGATATACAAGTCCGTATAAATAGTTTCATACGGCATTTATTTAAAAGGGAACAAGAAAATGCATATAAATAGTTTTAAGTTAAAGAAACCAAACCGCTCAGCAGCTTTGTCTTCCGACTTCTCCACAACTAAAGTTACATCCGCTTTGGCGGAGCAAGAAAGGGTGGAATTTGGACAAGGCCAAGAGTGGCACAAATAAATCTGGCTGTAGGTGGAAAAAAATCTAAAGTTCAGAATTGACATATATAGAACAAAAAAACGAAAAAGAAAAAGAAAAAGAAAAAGAATTGACCTATGTAGACTTGTAGTCTTCGTCCCCAAGTCTTTTCTAATATTTTCGTTCTTCTCAGTAAGCCGATTAACTTTAGTCACATCCTAGAAGCATAAAACTAAGTTCTAGGCTTTCATTTTGAAATCAATTAGTCACATTATTTTGGAGAATCCCATCATTAGTAATTTGGACCCAAAAACGACTTGCCGTCAGAACAGTTATGCACTGCAGTCTCAAACCAAACATTTATTTACTAGAAAAGCTACTTTTGTTCTATTAGATAAACTTAATATGAAAAAGGTGTAGAACATAATATATTGGGATATCTGGCCAACGTAGTGACATACAGCTTGATAATAATGGCCTAGCTTGGAAAATGTGGAACAAGGGAAAGACTGACCGTTAGAGATTGAGCTAGATAACTCTAGGAGGCCGACAATTTGTTGGTTTTTCAGGCCACTCTAGCAACTTTTTGGCCGAAGTTCGAGACCAGAAATTGCTCATCTTATTAGTCTAATTGTGTTGGTATAGGTCTTCTTGCTCAGAGTTGTTGAGATTTTCCGTCGTTAGAAATTTCTCAAGACACCCACTGTTGTTGGTGGCGGCTATCCCCACGTCATTTCGAGCACTATAGTATATTTGGATACGCGAGATGATGGGTGAACTGGAATTTCGCCTATTATGTGATTTTTTGGGATATTATTTTATTATTTTTCTGCAGGTTAAAAATGTGGAAAAAGTTCTAATTACAGTAGAAATTCTGCCGAAATTTCGATAAAAATCAAATTACCTATCAATTTAAATTAGGGCTAAAAGGGCTTTTAGTAAAGTGAACAGGGTCGTCACGAGTTCTAAAGGAAAATTCGGGACCTCTCCGGTAGAGTTTCAAGGGAGAATCCGAAACCTGTCCTGTCATGTACTACATCAAAGGGCCACTGTACACAAAAAACATTCCTTTATCTTAATATCCATTGCTATCTCAGCCCAAACAATTAATGGAAATTGGGACCCAAAAAAAAAAAATACTAGTTTTGTTCTATTGGATAAATTTAATATATACAGCTTGAAAATAATTGAGGCTTGAAAATGAAAGCCTGTTACGGAAAGACTGGTATGGGTCGGGGTGGGCTCATGAGTCAACATCCGGTCGTCTCTATTATTTGATGGTAAAATTCCATGCATAAGTGAAGTGATTGACACTTTACTTTTTTAAAGCAAATAATAATATGACGACTACTTTGTTGACACTACCACTCCATTTGCGTTCATTTAGTTTTTATTTTTTATTTTTAAATGTCGAGAATTTGTTAATGGGATCTTGCTCAGTGAAAAAGGGTATTAACTTGCAAATAAATAAATAAAAAAAGAGTAAAAACCTGCAAATTTCCAATGAGATATAAGAATAAAAGCAATCCAATTATAGAGATGAATGCTGCAAAGAGGTTCTCCCATCCATCCACGCTAGGCTCAAGATTTGAACCAAGAGAACTGGAAAAATGAAATGGCGAAATATATTAGATACAAAATTGAACTTTTCTTTAGGTCTGGATGTGTGAGATTGAATTTATATTACTCTCCAACAAATTAAGCTGATTGAATTTATATTACTCTCCAACAAATTAAGCAAATCG